TCTGAAGTCCTGCTTCAAGACCTTCGGCAAATCCTGTCAACCCCCATACCTCCATTTCCTTCATCATAAAAAAACCAAAAAAAAACCCTAAAAAACAAACGCAGGACTTTTACAGTGCTTCCTTCCTGATCCTTTCCTTGCTGCATTAGCTCACAGAGACGGCATGTTTTGGAAGCGCAGAGGAATACATCGGTGCCAAGTGTCATTGTTTATTCCTGTACTACGGATTTTGACACCTGTTCGCAGTCACGCTCGCACGTCTGGCCTCCCCGGCCCCAGGTCAGCACACCACGCTGCTCATGACCGTCTTCTCCCGTTGTACATTCCTATACGAAGCGTTTCCAAGATTACTTTCAGCAAATAAACTGGCACATCTCATCCTGGCAATTGCTGACCGATATTTGTGTTTTGCTGTCAACTCGTGACAGCCCAGAGCACCCAGGGACAGGAGGGGCTCGTGGGTCTGACCTGCTGGAACAGGACCACAGCCAGGAAACAAGCAGGTACCAGAAAGGTGACACGACCGGGACTTCTCAGAGCTGGAAACGGCATTTGAGAAGATCATTAAATATGGTAAGGAGAGAGGATCATCCCCACCGCACCCCAGGACACAGCAAAGGTGGCCGCGAAGCTGTGGCAATGCTTTGGGAACACGGCTGCAAACCTAGCATACACGCCGCTGGGAGAGGGGCACAGAACAGCTTGCACAGGGCTGCAGAGATGGTTAAGTGTCCGCAGGGGACTCTGAACCCACAGCAGGCACCTGCCGCCCAGCCTGGCATCTCCTGTTTATGCTCCTCCAGCAGCCTCCGCTGCTGCTCCACAAGCGCCAGCTTTCCCACCCCTGCTTCTTTTCTGCAAGTGCCAGAGAAGCTGTTTGGGATATATTCCCCTTTCCTTTACCATCCTGAAGGTGAGGAGCTCAGAGAACCCACTGAACCACTGTAAGCTGATGCTTTCTGAAACTCCTGAAGTCCTCTTGCGTGTTACTCCAGGGCACTCAGTTTGCTTACGGACCCCTTGTCCTCCCAAACCTGGGCAGGACACGTGGAAGGATCTGGTTTCAGGAACATCAGTAATTATAGAACAGGGCTGACGAGGGAGGAGCTCACGGGAACAGCAACAACACTTCTCAAGGCAAACGGTGGGCACAGGGTGTTACAGGCTCAGAGCAGCATTTACATGGAAAACCAGGAAAGCTGCAAGCGGAACAAGCTGTCACTGCAAACAGGAACACCGGTGGCAGCGAGTAAGGCTGTCATTTGGCAGTGCTGCACACACCAGGACATGTCTTAGTTTTCCCAAAAGCCTCAATGTCACTGGGACAGCAGCAAACATCACCCCTGCTTTGGATGGGGCAATCAGCTCCCCAGAAAAGCAGGGAGGGGTAGAAAAGTAGCAGCAGGCCAATGCATCGCTCTGGATCACACACACGTCCATGCAGCCTGCCGTCTGGAACTGAACGGCCAGCAGGCCAGTAAGTTTTACTGCTAGGCTGCCAGTGCTCCCAGATCCAGGAAAATGCCCACAAAACCAGCAGCAAGCCTTCTCCTCTTTGCAGCAACTGAGATTTTAGATCCCGTGGGCTAAACAGGGGGGGGAAAAAAAAAAAAAATCCACCAGCCTGTAAGTTCTGTTACGCTTACACTTGGACTCCCGGTGCTACCGGTTTTGTAGATCTTAGCAAAATATCCTGGGCACCAGCCATGCTGCTCTGATCCCAGGACGCAGCTGACAGTGAGCGATTATGCCCAGGCACAAGTTCAGATGATTCAGCAGGGCCTGGGAACATACACACCGAAACGGTTAGAACAAATCACCATGTTCGCTGCATCTCCATTTCAACCACAGAGCAGGAAAAAAGAGGGAGTCCGAGTTTAACTGCATATGTCTCCAAAGAGAAAACTCCAGAGAACATTAGAATAACTTTGTTACACAAACTAGTTCAACACCCTCTTAGAACTAGAGGGGAATGATGTTTCTTTACTATTTCTGGCCACATTCACACAGCAAGAGCCGAGTGGAGGAACAGAGGTTTCCCTGTGTTTTCAGCAGCGATATGAGCAGCGATCATGTCAGCGTGATCCTGCCAAGACTCCTCTGCCAATTAGAGGATCGCAGCGTGCTCTGACCATTTGGATTTCCGCCTCAACCCCTAGAAAACAAAACACTTGAGCAAAGCATTAGCGCCTTTCACAACATCCTCACATCTTTGGCACCGTCTTGGGGGTACGGAGAGAGCAGCAGAGGTACACAGCAAGCCAACACCTACCACTTCCCGACACAGCCAGCTGCTGGGAGCTCCGTGGGCTCCACCAGCTCCAGCCCCAAGCTCACGCTCACCAACAACCCTTTTCCAGAGATCCCCATGTCCCTAAGTCCCACAACATAACACCTACCCCATGGACATGAGAACCCACGGATTTTTTTCAGAGATGTGGGTCTCTGACCATCAGCCCTCATGGGGTTAACAACTTTCAAGGTCCCACAGCTCTAGCAGAATCCATATAATCAACTTAAAGGTGAAAAGCAGATTTGGACATCTTCAGAAATATTCCCAATTTGCATTAAGATGAAATCAAGAGTTGCATTAAAAAAAAGTTTGTAAAAAGTCAGGCAGGATAGCGATTTGAGCTTAGGTTCCCATCACCAAGGCGACTGCACAAAACACTGCGTATTTTGAAGCCATCTCACCCGTCCTCTCTTTGGCCTGGCAAAGGCTTTCCTAATCAGATATTCATTAGGCAGTAGTATGGTTCATAGTAAAGTTTGTCTTAACAGACCATCAAAGAAATTCTTCTCTATCAGCTCAAGTAGGAAAGCTCATCTGCCCTTTTAAAACACCAGAACTTTCCCTGTCTCCATCCCACATCTCTATTACGGGGTAGAATGTGCATGTTCTGGTTTTTCCTATTCCAAGTTCCAGTTCCGAGATCAGGGCAAACCAGAAAATGCAGCATGAGGGCAACGATTCTGGTTAGCACGGACATTATCCGGCTCTTGCTATCCACAAGCCTCAGAGATGTGCTCTGGCTTGACCCTGCACCACGAGAAACATTCGCATTTCTGGCTTGTGCTTTCATCCTGCCATCTCCTCCCCGGTCAGGATTCCCCTGCAAACCACAGCCTCCGCAAAACCCACACTTTCGAGCAGAACCTGTCCATGGGGATCCCCAGGGAAGCACCCTGACACACACATACATCGGAGCCCTTTGCAAAGCCGGTTTCAAAGACCTGACCCAAATGATCTCAGACGTTCACAAGCTCTTTGCTGAGCCTTAGAGGACACAGACATTTTCCAGACGCTACGATCACAGCAGTGAATATTAGAGCATTTCAAGAATTCATCCTGAAACTAAGATACATCTCGAGTCGGTTCTGCTCTGAACCCTTCTTGCAATCAAGCAGGGCTCCAGTGAACGTCATCCCAAAACATTTATTTTGGGGAAGATACATTTCACAATCTCCTTGACCAAAAAGCTTCACATTGGCATCAATCGTTCCACTCTAAACCCTGCTTTGGGAAAGTAATTTCCTAGGCATTCTGCCAATGCAAGCGCATTTCAGAGTATAAAATAAAAAAAAGAAATTAGTTCTACAGAAAAATCTTATTTGTACTCACTATGGAAATCACTTCTGCTTGTCTAGACTTTCCCAGAGTCTCCAAAATTATTGCAGCAGTGATAAGCAATATATATCTGAGTAGTGACACTTCTAGAAAAGCAGAGATTGCTCCGCAGCACCTGATGAGGAAGCAGCTACACAGCCTGACAAATCTGTGGGTATCAGCAGGGGCAGTTGTTCCTGCTATAAAGCAAGGGAGCCAATAGAAATCACAAAATAAACCAACATCTCTAAAATTTCATAGTCAGGGCAAGCCAGGCTGGGTTCTGGCAGCAAATAACCTTTCAGGCATAAGCACTGTAACATCACCTCACGCAATTAAAAAATCATTTGCATGTCAGGTCCCGCTGCACGAAGGAGCCCAAGAATCTCTTGTCGTGCTAATTCCTTGGTCTCTAAGAACATTTACAGATTTCCAGTTCATAATTCAATAGCCACAGACAAAATATTCCCCGAAAGGCAACAAGATGTACTGTACAAAAATACATATTTGGCAACAGGCAACAGGCTAGAGAGACGGAGACCATTAACATCAGTAAGCAATTCTCTACAACAATGCTCTTCTGATCCGCAAAGCCTCATGTGGCTCATTACAAAATCCTCTCCGCACACTGCGAAGATCCTTGGAAGCCCATGTCTCGAATGCCCGAACAGAGACTGCACAACAGTTGCACAAACTTGACACAGAAAACCACATCTCTGTCCAGCTAAAAACCTTAGACGTGTGTTGCGGCAAAAATAAATCCACCCCCTGCGCGCAGACAACCACAGCACCCTTAGAAGCTACACGCAGCGTCTGGGTGCAGCGTGACCGCAGTGAAGACTTTCGGGCATCGCTTCAGAGGTCTGCAGGCAGGACAACGTCCCCCCAGCCCATGTTGACCACCTCCTCAAAACCCCTCTCCCAGCTCGGCTTTGTCTGAGTAAGGCAGTTACACAGCCATAGACGGGATCGGTACTGCTGCCAGATCGTGTGTCCGGATCGTTAGGTGATTGTTTACGCAAGTACGGTCCCTGATCTCGTGTACCCTCCCCAATCTAGAAGAGCCAATTTCAGTTGTAAAAAGAAAAAAATAACCAGTGAAATAATAAAATATTACGTTCCTATACTTTGAAGGTAGCAGTCGGCTTAGACCATGATATTCACAGCATACTCCTAAGCATAATCCATAAAGATTGTATTCAGAAACTGAACAAAAATAAGGCATAGAATTTAAATTTAAAAGGAAATTTAAGGAAGTTTAAGCTTGCGGACAAAAGTGAAACTTGCTGAAAGCAAGCCACACTAACTAGGCTCTTCCCTATCCCAAGTTTTTAAAAACAAACATAGGATAAGTGCTTTGGTAGATCGCCCGCGTGCGAAAGGGAAGGGTTACCTCTCCGGAGCAGCTGTCCCCGTCTGCCTGTCGCTGAAAGCCACCGTTCAGTTACCATGTCAGCACAGAGAGCTGAAAACCGAAGTAACCTGCAAGAGAACACAACGCGAATTTCCACGGCTGTGCTGAAGGCCAGATATTTATGCCGCTGGGAGAACTGGGCCGGATCCAGTGACAGCTCTGAAATTTAAACACACGCTCCCTCTACCGCATGCTGAAACCATAGGCCGGGGACGGGGGGGGGGCGATTGCAGCCGTCTCCCCCGGGCTCCGGCAGCTTCTGCAAACCGGGAGGTAGAGCAAACCCCCGGGTGTCCCAAGAGAGACGGCCCCGACCCCTCACCAGGCTTGGAGCATCAGGATGTCACCTTTGCCTTATGTCTCCCACAGCCAGAGGCTGATGACCCCGAGCTTTTATGACAATGATGCTAGAAAAAGGTCTATGGTGGCCATAAGATGGCTTGTTTACTCAGCTTGCTTAATCCACCTTTAAGAGGCTGCCAGAAAGTTACTGCAAACTTAATGAACTTCCTTCTCAAGTGGTTGAAACTTAAGGATTCGACAGAGTTCATTCACTCTTCTTGGTTTTCCTGATAACTTTGCAAATAGCCTTGTATGAATTTCAGGCTCAGGAGAGCAGTAAGAGACCAACGCCGGAAAAAAAATGGCTTATGAGGCTTTGAACTAGAGGACTTAGAGAAAATATGTTCTATTTTTAGACACAGTTATGCAGACTAACTGGACTAACATATTAAACAAAGATGTTGTGAACATGATGCTACTTGAACCCGTGTACCCTCCCTGACATTACCCCGGCTTAGCTGCTCCTCCCACCCCAATGGAAAAGCCCTGTTTCATATTACTACCTCCAACACGGGATGATTTGCAAGGCAGCCGAGCGCCGGCAATGAACCCGGCATCGCCAGCCCCCCGCTGAGAGGGACAGCTCGGAGGGCAAGCCAGCAAGTTCAGGGCAGAGAGTGAATCCCACCCAGTGCCGCACGCCCACACCTCCTGGGTCTGACACGGCACCGGGAGCTGCAGTTGCTCAGAAGAGGATGAAAAAAGAAAGCAAATCCCCTGCCCCAAAAGCTGAGGCTCGCGGCACACTAGCGTGAGTGTGGAGGGTGTTTCCTACGCTGCCAAGCAGCCCAGGTCCATCCAGGGGAGGGCATGAGTGCGAGATCCCAAAAAATAACCCCAGTCCCTTGCATTGGAGCATCATTCGCATCAGGATCACTCTTTCTTGCGGTCAGCAATATAAAAATCACAGCTCCCCTTGAAGAAAGCGATTGCCCTCGGTTTACAGGCAGGGGGGCTGAGACAAGCCTGCCCGAAAGTCAGCCGGCGAGGGAAGGAGCGCAGATCCAGCGCCCAGCCCTCTGCTTTAGAGGAGGCCATAAAACCACGCACAATAATTTCACTTTCACAGCAGGACGTTAAAGCTACAGCAGGTTTCTCATCCCCTCCCTCCCAAAACAGAAGGTAGTTTTTCTAAACACCCCAGACAAAGTTTCTCTTTAACCTTCCTGATGATAATAAAGGGACAATAAAAAAGTCATTACAATCCCACTGGCGCATCAGGAGCTGGCTTTTTCATCTCCACCATCAATAAAGCCCGTCCCTGATTCAGTAACAAAAAGTGTAACGTTGACAGTGTCAACGAGGGCATGAATCACATGCTGGGAGGGCACAAATCACACCCTGAGCTCTCTCCCATCGCAGATCAGAGCGCTTTGCTGCTGCCGCCGCCGGAGACCTGAGAATTAAAACTAAATTACTGGCTCACCTCGTCCTGCTCACAGCTAAATGCCAGGGCATGCCCCGTCACCATCACATACAAGGCAATACTTGCACCAGCTCAGCAGGGCACAGAGGGAACCTGCCAGCACATCCCTGCTGAAAGCTTCCTCTTGTATCCCTGGCTGACACATGGTAAGTCACGGAGAAAACTCCCATCTCAGCACGGCCTGGAGTACGTTTGTACCAGGAGGAGAAAGGGATTCTCCGCTGAAGGCAGCAAGGGACTGTGCACGAAGAGAGACGGCAGGAAGAGGACAAGAAGAGCAGAAACGAGAAACGGAACATGGGCTGCTTCAACCAGCAGGTCACTGGTTCAAGAGATCAACATTGCTACCGGCCTTGGGACTCTGATTTACGGGGTGGCCGCAGCTGCATCCTCTTTCCACGCTCGCATCCCTCTGCATCATCACGATAGATGTTGCCAGGACTCTATGGCACGACCAAAGCCTGCTTGCCTCTGCCCACCCATGGTCCACTCACAGGGGCTTTCCCAACATGTAGGGGCTCAACGGACCGATTTCTTCCCGCAAGCACGATCGTGACTCGCATGCAAGAGGCCTCCCAGCACAGCTGCCAAAGGGGAAGGTGGCCAAGGCTGAGGTAAGTTACAGCGGGACGCTGTTTGAAGCCACGCAGATACAATACAGTCGATGACAGACAGATGCTTTGGGAAAAGCATAGATGGGATCGTCACAGAGGGTGTGTATTCTCTCCTGCTCCACTGACAAACTGCATCTTCAGCCGCTTTTCCTCTGCGTGCCTTGATTTTCCATCCAGGGACACTAAAACACGCCTACCTCGTAAATAGGTTTTGAACCTTAATTCACTGGCTTCTGTAAATAGGTTGGAGGCTCTCCGATCATAAACAAATAGGGCTGTTAAACATCATTTGAGGTGGAGTCAGTGCACACAAACTTTTGGAAGTATAGTGAGCCCAGGAGGCCTTTTGACCACACGAAAAAGGGGAGGTCAAAACTCATCTGGGGAGGAACAGCTCAATGTAACAACAGGATCCTTGTTGGTTACAATAACAGAGCTTGGAGCTAGCCAACGAGGAAGGAAAAAATGCAACAGGTTGGTAGAACACAACAAAGGAGGGAAGCAGGAGGTAAAAGAAAATGAGGTCTGTTGCTTCAAGGTCCTGCCACCTACTTCTGCATGCTCCTTCACCTTTCACCTAGGATTTTTTACAAGTGCTTTTAAAGTTAATTAAGACTTACGCTCAACCCAGCCAGCAAGCAGGTACCACCTTCCTGCATTCGGCTACAAGCGTTCGCAGCATGGGACAAGCCACCTCGTGCAGAACTCACAAGTGCTTTAGAGCCACTATTTAATAAAGGCAGCAGTACCCCTACTTCATAGGTGGAAAAAGCACAGCACAAAAAGCAAACATCTTTTATCTGGGATCTCAGGGAAAGCAGGAGCATGATGGGGAGCAGAATGTGGAGATATGAGGGACAAGAAAAGGGCTCTCAGATCCTTTCTCCCCGGGGAACCCCTCACCTGATGCACCACTGAAGGACCATCCTGACCCTCTTCCTTCTCCTCCTTCCAGCCCCAGCCCCAACAGTGCCCCTCACTGGTACCCTAAAATCACAGGCCAATTCCCCGACTTGCCACCCCACCCCTGGGAGAGAAGAGAGGGAGACAGGGGCCCCTCCTCCAGCCTCCCCTGTTTGGGCTATGTCCCATCCTCTGTCTTCCCCAATTTCCCAAACAGGAATGAGAGCCTGCACCCTAACATCACTCTCAGCACCCTCCAAACCACTATCCCCCAAAGTCCCCCCCACCTCCTCGATGCTCAGACACCAGAGCTCCCTGCCCCTTCCACCCCACACCCTCAGAAAGCCCCCATGTGCCCCCATCTCCTCAAACCCAC